GAAATGGAGAAAACCTTTGTTCATCATGCCTGTGACTGGGGGGCTTAATATCCATATCTAAAAATGGCTCATAAAACTCAACAAAAAGAAAACTAAACACCCAATCAAAAATCAGCAAAATAATTATAATTCAGGGCCTCCCCCGTGGCACAGCGGTTGAGCGCTGGGTTGCAAAGCAGCCTGCAGCCTCTGCAGCACTGGTTCGATCCCCAGTCGCTGGGCGAGGGTCCCACATGGCGCACAGAACTCTCCTGCTGCCCTCTGCTCCCCTCAGCAGTGTATGTCGTCAGTCTGCCTGCTCTGCTCTCCCCTCTGGCTCTGGTGAATTCTCTCACCTTCCCACACTTCTGACAGTACCCAGTGCTTGTATAAATAAATAAATAAATCTTAAAAATAAAGAATTATACTTCTCTTAAGAAGACATACAGATGGCCAAGAGGCACATGGAAAAATGCTCAACATCATTTATCATCAGGGAAATCTAAACCACAATGGAGGGGGCAGTAAAAATAATAATAAAACCACAATGAGAAGTAAATCACACCTGCACGCATGGCCCATTTCAAAGAAAATAAGAAACAGGAGGTGCTGGGTAGGAACCCTTCTACATTGTTGGTAGGAGTATAGGCTGGTCCTGTACCCATGGAAAACCGCATGCGGAGCTTTCTCAAAATATTAAAAATAGATCAACCTATGATAAAATCTTCCCACTCCTCATTATCTAGGAAGAAGGAAGACACAAGTTCAAGGGATATATGCACTCCTACATTCATTGCAGCACTATCTACAATAGTTTAGGTATGTGCCCCAAAACAGATGAATGGATAAAGAAGATGTGTTATATGTGCACAATGAACTGCTACTCAGCTACAAAAAAATATAAATTTCTTTTGTGACATGGATGGCACTAAAGGAGATTATGGTAAGCAAAATAAGTCAGAAAGAGATGATATCTTAAGGTATGTAGGATATGTAGAAATAAAACAAAGAATCAGATAAATATAAAGCCAAAACAAACTACAAATACGACTATAGTATTGAGGCTACCAAAGGGAGAGAGGGAGGGTGTGGAATCAAAAGGGGTGGGAAGCCCAATGGACTATGTTGAAGGACTATGAGTACATTTTTAGTGGGTGTGGTGGGGTAACATACATCTGAAGAGATGTGGACCTGTACCTATAAATAACACATAGTGTTATAAACTAATGCCAATTAAAAAATAATACAACAATAAAACATAAATTAAAAACAGATATTTTGATAGGGAAAAATGTTATACTAGTCAGTTTTTGAGACCTCACTGCATATAAAGCAGCTTATATATACGTCTTTTATGCATATTCATAGTTTAAAATTATATATATGACTTACTTAAAGTTATATATATTGGGGCCTCCCCGCTGTGCAGCGAGTTAAGCGCAGTGCTGTGAAGCTGACCGCAGCCTCTATAGCACGGGTTCGAATCCCGGCCAGCCAAGGAGATACCCACAGTGTGGACCTCTCCTGTCTGTCCCACTGCTCCCCTCAGCAGTGTACTTCAGTCTGCCTGTTCTGTTCCCCGCTCTGTCTCTGGTGGATCCTCTCACCCTCCTGCACTTCTGGCCTGTACCCCAGCTCTTGTATAAATAAATAAAATCTTTAAAAGAATTTATATATACATATATAATTTTATACTGTGAATGTACAGAGGACATTTTTCATCCTAATTATCTAGTATTCCTTTTCTAATAATCTCAATGTCTTAATAGTTTGTTTTTTTTATTCTCTATCTCAAACTTTTTAATGTCCTTTATTATTTTTCTTATCTTCCCATGTCATCCCCCAATTGTTACTAAATAGACACACCACAAACCCTGTAAGTTTTGAGAAATGTATTCTTTGGATGACTACCAAGGAGTAGAATTGCTGGGTCATATGGTATGTCTATTTTTAATACTTTGAGAAAACCCCACATTGCTTTCTTAGAGGTTGGACCAGTCTAACATTCCCACTGATGTGTAACCAAAGGGTGCTTTTTCTTCACACCCTCACCATCATTTATTTTGTCTCAGAAAATTTTCTTATACATACATGACTATATTTTTCAATGTAAGGCGTAAATCACAGTTGCAGCAAGTTAGAATGCAATGAAGAAATGCTGACCAAAAACAAAATTGCTGGCAAACTTAAGAGCAATCTTCGAGTCCACTAACATGTCCATTTTGACTTTGCCTCTGAACTAAGTTTTACCTTGCTGGGCTCCTCATGATTATTTGTTTCAATTCACTTGGACTAAGCATTCTGTCCCCTAAACAAGTACAGACTTTTCCTGTTTCTGAATTTGCTATAATGTAACAGTCTACCCAATAGTTCAGAGCCAAGTCAAATACCACCTCCTCAATAAAAGTCTTCTCCCAATTACGTAAGTCCCAAAGTATAGTTACTGCCTGGTTTATTACTGAACTTAGATTGTACCATTAATATCTGACAAGGAATCTTGATTTATAGATTTGTTTGCATTCTCTTTTTGCTGTATCCTACAAAATTATAACAATTCTTAAGGACAGAAACTGTGTCATGCAACTTTGCATGCCAGAGGGTTTTGCATATTCACAGACTAGTCTACAAAAAATAAAATCCAACTCACAAAATAATGCAAAATGTGAATTGTTGAATAAATGTATTCCAGTGTTGAAACATTTTTAATATGCTTTTTATCGAACTACCTTTACTTTACATCCTTATTCATTTTTTCACAATAAAGAATTTCTCCCCTAAGGTGTGGTTACCATAGTTCTCCCACCACCACCCATAATCCTCCACTATGACCATTGTGCTTACCCACCTTCCCTCCTGGATGCTTCAGATCTATGGTCAGCTTTCAAGGGTTGGTTTTAAAGTTTGTCTTTGTCTGATGTGTTGTTTATTTTCTATATAATTTCCTTTGTGTTTCTCCTTATCCTTATGAGGCAATCCTTATATTGAACCCAAATTTTATGTTTACCTCCAACACTCAAAAAATAAAACATTTGAAATATATCTAGGTTCACCTTACAATGCTTTAATCTTAAGGATAGGAAGAGGCATCTATAACATGTAGGTCTGATCCCAATAACTGGGGGCAAAGGAAATAATTTGAATGTCTTTTTGATTTACCTGTTTGAATCAAAATGCAATATGAGGCCAGAGGAGGAAAACTGAGTTGCAAACCAGTCTTATTCTACCTGATCTGTTTAATTTCACAGTGTAGGTGTTGGAGAAGAATGAACAAGAATAAAAATGATGGGGTCTTCTGTTTAGCTGTATTTGAGTTTGGTATTCTATAGCAGCTGTGAATATTTATTTTTTAAGCTAACTAGTCCCATTTTTAATCCACATGAACACAAATGGAATTCTCCCTTTAAGAAACTGTTTAAAAGGTTAATTTCTCCTTTTGATCATCCTTCCAAAATAGGGATGTGGACTTTTAAACACAATTAGCTGTTACAACAAAGAAACCAAGCCACTTTTGAAAAGGACCTGGGGATCTGGATCCTCTTTATACACAATTATTTTCAAGTATCTTATTCATCAACCCCCATCCCCACTTCCACAAGCTTTAGGTCTCAGAAAGTCTCCTAAATGTGGACAGGACTAGAGTGAGGCACTCTCAGACATAAAATATAAGGGAGCATCGCAAAACTCAGTGAAGATAAATATTTAATGCATAATGTTAGGGTCTCCCTGGTGGTGCAAGGGGTTAAGCACCGCACTATGAAGCAATCCGCAGCCTCTGCAGCACGAGTTCGATCCCCAGCCAGCTGGCCAGGGAGCAACCCACATAGCAAAGCAGACCTCTCCTGCTGGCCTGCTGCTTTCCCTAAGCAGTGTATTTCAGTCAGTCTGCCTGTTCTGTTCCCCACTCTGTCTCTGGTGAATCCTCTCACCCCTCTGCATCTCTGGCCTATACCCCAGGGCTTGTAAGCATAAATAAATACATGTTTAATTAAACATATTTAATGCATTGTTTTAAAATATTAAATTAATGCAATAAAGTCCACGACTAACAAAAAGCAAAGTTTTAAGTAAACACAGGATCTTACCCTGCACTTGCCTGATTCACCTCAATTGCTTTATCCTAAACTGAGTTTTTGGCACATTCTTAAATTTTGTGCTAAAACTGAGTGCCTCAATGCCTTATCCTAATCTAGGTTCTTAATCCTAAATACTTTGATGTATAGCACCTTCCTGAGTCCCTTCACTAAATGCCACCTTGAATTCAAAATCCACTGTACCAGTCCTTTCCCTGAAGATCTCTATTACTTCACACTTCACTGCGGGGGGCCTATTGAATTCTTGGTGAAGTACAACCAAGAGGGATAATGGAGTTTAGAGAGTGCCCCTTCAATCAGACACTTCCCTTACTTCCAGTTTCCAGTTATGTGTCTACTCCTTCCTCTGTGGGAGATGTGCTATTTCGGCACCCTCCTAATGCCAGGACCACAATTCTTATTTGGCGGGAAATCCCCACAACCAGATTAACAGCTCCACTCTTTTCTTCTTTCTGAATGAATCCTCACCTCAGTTCATCTCCACTCTACTGCCAAAGGCAGATGGAGAGACTGGATTCTAAACTCAGTTTCCAAAGCACTTACCACGGGGAAGAGGTAAAAATGGGGATTTGGAGACTGTGGAGAGAGCAACTGCAGTGACTTTAGCCTGTCATTACAACATAAAAGGGAAAAAAATACAATCAAGACAACTTCCGCTTTCCCTCTGGCCTTATGCTGGAGCACTCTGCCAATATTAAGTAGCGTGCTCTTCCACCACCGGCAGTCTAAGCAGGTAGCCTTTGGACAAGACCCTGGGCCACACCCCCTGGACCGGTCACCTTCCCTTATTGGCCTGACAGCCTGTCACTCCAATCTGGTTCCAGCTCCTGCTAACCATTCACGTAGTTTGGTTGCGTCTTGGTGTGTTTAATGTTGCCGATAAGGAGGAATTTTTTTTTTTTTTTTTTTTTTTTTTTTTTAGAGGCGAGTACAGGTCGTGCTGCATTTAGTTCATTGAAAACTCAGTTGCTCTTCGAGCAGTCCGGGAGAGACTGCTTTCGGCTTTTTATCTGTTAAGATTTCCTATAGAACTGCAACAATGCCCAAAAGAAAGGTATGTGAAACGGAAGGTAGAAGGAGGGATTCGCGACTGAAATACATATTTACTAATTGGCAGATTTATTTATTTATCTATCTATCTATCTATTTATTTATTTATTTATTTATTTATTTTAGGATTTTGGCTTCTAGTTCGATTTTATGATGCACTGAATGGAAGGGGAGGGACGGGGAAAGAACGGTCGGTGTAAGATTTAGAATGGTCTCGCATGCAACTAGTAGTTCACTTTTGGCTTGTTTTGTTTAAGAGAAAGAATCGTTGAGAGGTGTCTCCATGCTGAATTACAAACAGCCATAGCACTGTGCTGTCGCTTCCTACCCCACCCCCTTCCTCCGCTTACCCTATTGGAGAACACTTCTCCCAACCACACTTCCACGCACCAGTTTCCTCCTCAGTCTCCAGCTTTTCCACCTGGAACCCGCCCGTTTGGGGGAAGGAAAGCCATGGCTTTCTCCCCTATTTGCCTTTGTTCTTCCCGTTTTCTTTTTCCTTTTTCCCTCTTCCCTCCTCCACTTCTTGTCAAGCCAGATGGCTTTGCAATAGTAATGCTATGCCATTAGGCGGCGCAGGCTTCAAACTCCCTTCTCAAAACTAGGAAGGGAGAGAGTAATTAGCAAGTTTAAGGTTGAAAGATCTGGGGCTCTCCAACCTTTCTAAAAGTGGATAGATGAGCTGTTGGTGATGTTGGGGTGGCATGGACTTGTTCACTTTGGATATACAGAATTGATATGAGCTATTCAAGGGCAAATCCTCACTTGGAAATTCGTGGCTCCTCTTGGATGGGAAATAAATTCACGCTCCGTGTGTGTTTGTTTGGGGTGGGTTCTTTTTAGGGGCGTATCCTATATAAGTGACATAGAACGCTGTTTAGTTCCTTGATAAAATTGTAAAACACTGCGCTAAAGTATTATGGTTGCTTTCTTATGATTGCTATATATACATCTGCCTTCCTAGAATTTAAGAATTAGAACGAAATCCCCGGTGCCAATGGAGGGCTGTATGAAGGACTGCTCAGATATCGAAAGCAACCAATTAGAAACCCGCCATCACCCCTTCCTTAGTTTCCCGCCGCTGCACTTTTCTAAACTTGTGCTAAGAGTGTTGCTATTTTGCAGAGCTGACAGCAACTTTGTAGAAAGTTGTGGCGGGAAGTTTTAAAATCCCGGGCCGGGTACTCAGAATAATGCATTGACTTGGCAATAAAAGTCCCCCATCCCAAAGCATTGTGGGGGTTGTAGTTCTTATATGCAAAACTTTAAGGGGAGTCTAGTCCAGAGCCAGTAGAGAATGTTCAAGAAATACAACTGCATATCAAACATAAGGCAAAGGACAAAGAAACTGCTTGAAGTGCCGCCTTCATTCTGCCTGCCCCCACACTTTTTTCCTGGCTACAGCAGGTGGGTTTTTAATTTGAAAGATTTATTTTTAGGAGACACAACTTACCCATAAGGGTGAAGTTGATTACCAGTTGTGTAAATTTATGTATTGGAGAATGCATTTGCATCTTGGTGTACATTTGCATGTTACTAGACAGCAGTATGTACTATACTACTAGGAAATAACTGTTGACTACTGAGCTGGAATCCAGGAAATAAAGTTATATTTCAGATGTAATCTATAACATTGTTTTCTTGATCTATGTTTATATCAATGACCTTATTTCTGTGTGGTTTTCTTCTCTGTATAGGCTGCAGGACAAGGTGATAAGAGTCAGGAGGTGAGTTTGTTTAGTTTTAGAATCTGTCTGAAAAAATTCACTCCTTTTATAAACTTGAGACACATAAGCTACTAAAAAATAGATGCTGATACATATGAGTACAAATGTGGTATGCCAGTGAGCTCTCTCAGAAATATAATAAGTATTGAAAACTACAACCTATGTGGAATTTGGGATCTTGTATTTAAGAACTGGAGAAAACACCTTCCTTTTAAGCAAATGAATTCCTTTGTCAGTTTGCAAGGAGGTGCTGTATTTTCATTTCAAAATAGGCTCCTTGTTACCAGCCACCTAGCAATTGAAGTTTAATTTGGATTTTTACCCCGTTAGCTGTTTAAATGATCCAGAAGAGGGAAAAATAAAAGCTATGTTTTTTTTTTCTAATTAAGTTCACAATTGCTTCTTTAACAACAATATATATGTAGTATAAACTAGTTTCACAATATAAATAATTCTAGTGTTGTGTATCTATAATTCTCTTAACTGGTCATTGTTTTCATTTATAGCCAAAGAGAAGATCAGCCAGATTATCTGCTGTGAGTAGTCTTTTTAAAAGTTGCCCATGTATTATAAAATGTAATTTTTAAATTCACAAATTCCTGCGCAATGCTATAATTTAAAACAAGATTTTTTTTTAAGATTTGTTTATTTATTTATACAAGCACTGGGTACAGTCAGAAGTGCGGGAGGGTGAGAGAATTCACCAGAGCCAGAGCCAGAGTGGGGAACAGAACAGGCAGTGTGATGAAATACACTGCTGAGGGGAGCAGCGGGCAGTAGGAGAGGTCTGTCGCACCATGTGGGACCCTCTTCCGTGGCTGGGGATCGAACTGGTGGCTGGGCATTGAACCAGCGGTGCAGAGGCTGCAGGCAGCTTCGCAGCCCAGCGCTCAACCGCTGGGCCACCAGGGGAGGCCCAAAACAAGATTGGCTTTTGACATTTTGAGAAAAAACTTTCACAAGGAAATAATTTTTCCTAGTGCTCAATTTGAATTGTATGCATTTGGTTTAATTAACAGGTTGGATTTCATTGTTAGTGGTCTTTCTTCACTTTTCTCCCCCCACATTTGTGTTTTTTGATCTAGATGCCTGTGCCCATTATTCCTGAGGTGAAGCCCAAAAGAACATCAACTCCAAGGGTAAATATTCAACTTGCAAGGTTTAAAGAAAATTATTTTTTGGAAAAGCATACAGCTGATAGATTTGCTTTTTTTCTGTTCAGCCTACCTCACATTACATCATAAGGCACATTTAAGCCCTTTGAGAATCATACTCAATGAATGATCTTTTAAGGATGGCTTGAATTCTTAAAATTATAAAATTTAAAGCTAGGAGGAATATTAGAGATCATCTAATTCTACGACTTTGGTGAAAGAAACTAAATTATAGTCATATTTTTACATTGCTTTGAAAATATTAAGATATTGTTAAAACTAAAGTGAAGTTTTAGCAATAATAATAACAGTAAATGACAATGAAGAGAAAGTTTCTTATTATTTTTCTTCTATTTCACATTTCAAGGTCACAATTCTATAAAACTAGGTACTCAATTTACAAGTTATTAAAATAGCAAGTGCCGTTTATTTCCTTTAAAAGTAGAAGATAGTGATAGAATAAAACAGATACTATGTAATCATGGACTTTAAAATACTTTATCTTCCCTTACTCTCAGTTTTTCATGTGTGAAAGAGTAATAACTTTCTATATTTTATTTTACAGTTTCTAAAGCAATTTCACAAATATTTTCTCATTTGCTCCTTATAACATCCTTATGAGGTAGGTGATATTACTGTCTTTCACATATGAAAAAACAAACTCAAAGAGATTTATGCTTTTGCTCAAGATCATATAAGTCACAGATCCAGAATTTAAACACAAGATGTCTGTGCCCTTAACCCAGTGTTCTTTCTTCTACATACACACTTATGCAAAGGGCTTTTTTGGTAAATCATGATTCAAGACATTCCAAAGCTTGTAGACCCAGAGATTGAATCATCTATATCTGCAGGTATTAAATTGATGTTTTTACTAACATAGTAGTTCTCTTAATTATTGCCAGTGAGGTTTCATAATCAACAAAACCCTGCTGTTGATTATTAGACATAATAGAAATAAATTGACTCCCTCTAGTCAGAGAAAATTTATCAAAGTCTAACGTGATTCTAGCAGTTGGTCGTGAGAGACTGCTGGTCAACATTTTAATTTGTTACCTCTCATCTAAAACAAAATGTGTTTTATATCAGAAAAACATACTCATTTTTAATGTTGCTTCAAGTTTACAAAGAAAGTGTCACTGTACAATTTTGTTAGTATTAAGTTTATATGGGTATTTTAAATCCTTTCCATAAATTATTAAAGAATTAGTAAAGTAAACTGGGCCACATGATTAACATAGCAGTGAAATTGTATACAGCAGGTCCTCAAATAGCAAATAGTGTGTTTCTTTAAGCATTGTTTTGTTATGTTGATGAGAAAAAAATTTGGCAGACATTGAACTAGACAACTTCATTTGAGGTCCTCCTTTGTTATAGGTCTTTTCACTTGAAGTCAGTTTCCAAGAACCTATCCATGACATCAAGTAAGACTTTGCTGTATTTATTTTTATTCTTTTGTGTTACTGGACAGAAAATGAAGACAAAAAGTGAAATGATGGAAAAAAACACAGATCCTTGTGATATAAGTGCCAAAGCAATAGAGGAAATAAAGGAAGAAGACGTTAAAGAAGAATACAACAATGAAAGTGCTAAAAATGGAGAAGCCAAAATTATAGAGGTACCTTAGAATATTATCAGATTTCTCCATTTGAAAGTTTAACAGTGGGTACATCTGAAAGAATTCTTATTACCTTGTAGTTTTAAAGTTGAGAAACATTAAATGAGTAGTGTTTCTATAGTGTCTCAGTCAGTTTGGGCTGATTTAATAGAATATCATAAACTATATGGCTAATAAACAATAGAGATTTATTTCACACAGTTCTGGACATTAGCAATTTCAAGATGAAGGTGCCAGCATTTTTCGTGACTACTGAGGATATGTTTCCTGGTTAATAGACAAAAGTCTTCTTACTTAGTCCACACATGGTTGAAGGAGTCAGAGAGCACTCTGAGGCCTCTTTTATGACACTAATCTCATTCTTAAGTGTTCTACCCTCATGACCTAATCACCTCCCATAGGTCCCACCTCCACATACCATTGCATTGGGGATTAGATTTCATCATATCAGTTTGGGGAGATACAAATATTCAGTCCTTAGCATATAGTATAATGGAATCTAGGGGAGAAAGAAAAAAATGGATTCAAATTATGAGAGTGGGAGGAAAATTATGGGTAGTAGGAGGAACACAATGACAGTAGTCATGACTTAGTACGAATATTATGATTCTCTTATTAAATAGAGGACAATTCTGTATTCCTTTTGTTAATAAATGAACTATTTGTCACTCCCTTTCCCATATCATATGATTCTTTTGTTCCCTCTGCAGACTGCAAAAACAGAATCACTGTGTAAATGTTTCCAATAGGTCTTTCTCTGCATATTTAATATATACCACTCTTATTTTTTTTTCATATTGAGATAACATTGGTGTACATTGTTTTTTGTATTTTGGAAGTATAGGAAGTATAGATATTGTAATAAAACAATGAAAATGGGATCAAATGCCAAATCTATGAACTAAACATGCACATATAAGGAGAATATTATATGTGATCTTATGATACCTGGTAGAAGACTTTTCAAGTAACTTTTTTTAAGTGTATTACATAGTTATTTTATATATGTATGCATTGCAAAATGATTACCACAAAAAGGTTAATTAACATGTCCATCAGCTCACATGGTTAAGATTTTATTCATAGAGAGAACTTTTAAAATCTACACTTAACAACTTTCAAATAGTACTGTTAATTATAGTCACCATGGTGTACATTATATCCCAGGGCTTTATCTTGTAACTGGAAGTTTATATCTTTTGACCACCTTCACCTATTCCCCCTACCCATGGCAGCCACCAATCTATTCTGTTTCTGTAAGTTTTTTTTTTTTTAATGTTCTCTATATAAAGTGAGAATATGGAAAGAGTATTTACCTTTCTCTGATTTATTTCACTTAGCATAATGTCCTCAAGGTTCATCTATTTGTTGTAAATGACAGGAAATCCCTCTTTATATGATTGAATAATATTCCATTGTGTGCATATGTATATCACATTTTCTTTATTCATCCATTGATTGTCACGTAGGTTTTTTTCCATGTCTTAACTACTGTGAGTAATGCTACAGTGAACATGGGCATACAGATATTTCTTTGCCATATTTTAATAAATTTTATTGAGATAACATTCATTAATAACATAAGTTTCAGATGTAAAACATTATATTTCAACATTCGTGCATTCTATGTTACATTGATACCACCACCTAAAGTCTAGTTTGTATCCATTACCATACAGTTGACCCATTTTACAAAATTCATCCAACCCTTAATCTCCTTCCCCTCTGGTAAGCACCAATCTTTATACCAAGAGGTTTTTTTGTTTTTACTTTATTTGCTTTGTTATTTCATTAGTGAAATCTTATAGTATTGATCATGAAAAAGAATAATATCTTGCCATTTGTGACTATGAATAAACCTTAAAGATACTATGCTAAGTGAAATAAGTAATTATTTTGCAAAGAAAACTTAAATGTCACCATTACAGAAACAAAGTCTATTATATATAATATAAATATATTATATATAAGTCAGTTATATCTCAATGAGTAGCTGCTCATTGAGAATTGCTGAACAGAACAAATGTACTTTTTTCCCTGTATTTGCCTTGTTTTTGCATACTTGTAATGAAATTTATTTATATTTATAAGCTTTCCTGAATTTATTGTTCCAAATCCATTTGTGCATGCTTTTGTGGAAATATTTTAATTCTATTTCTTATGATGCTTTTCTCATGATTTGATATGTAGGAGACCTTTTCCACAAGAAAATTACTTTGTTGTAAATGAAGTTTTACTTTTTCCATATAGTGGATATAATTCACTCTAAATATTTAGGGGAAACAGTTCTAAACTTAAAAATATAATCTTTTTTTCCTGCACATATAGGTACTAGTTTCTAAAAAAGACATTGAAGAAATAAAAGGAGAAACTGAAAATGTCAAAGAAGAGGGTGAAGAAAAAGTAGAAGAGGTCACAGTAGATGGAAAAGAAGATGAAAAAGGAGATCAGAAAGAAGATAGAGAAGATCAAGTTGAAGAAGAAAAAGGAGAAGATGGGAAAGAAAACAAAGATGGAAAAGAAAAAGGAGAATATGAAAAAGAGAATGAAGATGGAAAAGAGAAAGGAGAAGATGGAAAAGAGGAAGTAGGTAAAAAAGAGAAAGGAGATGAAAAAGAGGGTGAAGATAGAAAAGGGAAAGGAGAAGATGACAAAGAATCAGAAGTGGAAAAAGCAAAAAGAAATGAAAAAGAGGATAAAGATGGAAAAGAGAAAGAAGATGGAAACGAGAACAAAGATGGGAAAAAGAAAGAAGATGGAAAAGAGAAAGAAGATGAAAAACATGGGAAAGAGAAAGATGGAAAAGAGAATGAAAATAGAAAAAGGAATGATGATGGACAAGAAGACAAAGACAGAAAAGAGGATGAAGGTGGAAAAGAAGATAATGGAAAGGAAAAAATAGAAGATAGAAATGAGGGCAAAGATGGAAATATGGAAGAAGGAAAAAAGGAAGATAGGGCAGAAGAACAAGAAGACTATGGAAAAGGAGATGGAAAAGATAGAGGAAATGGAAAACAAGGTGAAAACAAGCCTGAAGCTGGGAAAGAAGAGGAAACAAAAGAGTCTCAGAGTATTGTTTAAAGCTGCCCTTTATACTTTCATAAATTGGCAATATGTACCTCCATGTTGTAATGTTAATAGAAATATAGATGAATATTTTTATCAAATATTTTATAAAAATAGCTTTTCTTTAGCATCAGTTTAATTTCAGAACATCTTCATACTGATTAGTAGCCACAAAATTCCTAACAGGAGACCTTCATCTTGAAGTTTTGTGATTATAATAGTAGAATATATAGAAAAATATGCTTTCAACTTTGTCAGTGAATTTTGCATTGTGTAAATCATGTGTTAAGTCTTTGGATTTTAGTTTTATTCTATGTGATAATTTTACAAGCTAGGTCTCAAAGAGTTTCCTCCAACATTCTTGTGGTTCTCTAAATTGCTTTTATAAAGAAGGTGAACTATTTTCGTGTAATGTTAAGAGTTGAATTATCTTTCCCAAATATAACTTTCTTGTCAGCTTGAGGGAAAAAGTAAAATTGTAATTCCATTTTTAAAAACGATACAAATATTTACTTCAGAAGGGCAGTTCTGATTATATATGTATCCACAGAATTTTACTGACTTAGCTTAATAAAAAGACTCTTCAAAGATGATTGTAGTTTGTTATATCTCCAAAAATGTAGGGAAATATTATATTTAATTTTTTCTATTGTGATGTCATATAAGCAATTTAAATTTGCACCAATATAAAACTAACATAACATATACATCACCATTTAAACCATTTCAAATTATACAATTCAGTGGTTTTTAATACATTCAATCATTTGTGCAACCATCACCACTATCTAGTTCCAGAACATTTTTATCACCCTAATAAGAAACAGTACGATTAATAATGCCTCTGTATTCTCCCTCTCATAAGGGTTCCCTGACAACCACTAATCAACTTTCTATCTCTATTGATTTGACTATTCTGGTATTTCATATAAATGGCGTTACACAATATGCAACTGGCTTCTTTCATTTAGATTATTTTTTAAGTTCACCCATATTACCTGTGCCATTACATCATACCTATTTATGACTGAATAGTATATTACATTGGTACACATTTAAGTTATCATGTTTTATCAATTATGAGTAATGCTACCATGAGCATTCATGTACAAGTTTTTGAGTGCATGTATATTTTCATTTCTCCTGGGCATCCATGTAAGAGTGGAACCACTGAGCCATATAGTAATTCTATCTTTATATTTTTGAGTAGTTTCCAGACTTCTTTCCAATGTAACTTTAGCATTTATAGTCTCACCAGCAATGTATGAGGATTTGAATCTCTCCCAGTCTTTGTCAGAACTTGATGTTTTCTTTATTATAGCTATCCTAGTGGGATGATTTTTTTTTTTTTGAGGGAGGTATCAAAATCACGGTGATTTTGATTTGCATTTGTAAAATGATGTTGAGCATATCATCTTTTTGGTTATTGGCCATTTGTATATCTTCTTTGGAGAAATAGCTAATATGCTTTGGTCATTTACATGGGTTATCTTTTTAGTATTTAGTATAGTAAAATTATGTATATACTTCAGATACTAGTCCCTTAAAAGAATATGTGATTTGCAAAACTTTTCCCCCATTCTATAGGTTGTCTTTTTTTAAAAAGATTTTATTTATTTGTTTGTTTATTTATTTATACAAGCACTGGGTACAGTCAGAGGCGGGGGAGGGTGAGAGAATTCACCAGAGCCAGAGCGGAGAGTAGAACAGGCAGAGTGACGAAGTACACTGCTGAGGGGAGCAGTGGGCGGCAAGAGAGCTCTGCGCGCCATGTGGGACCCTTGCGGGTGGCCAGGGATCTAACCGGCGCTGCAGAGGTTGCAGGCAGCTTTGCAACCCAGCGCTCAACCGCTGCGCCACTGGGGAGGCCCTATAGGTTGTCTTTTCACTTCCTTTATATTGTCTTTTGATGTGCAAAAGTTTTAATTTTTTAAAAATTTAAAATGTCCAATTAGCTACTTTATCTTGTTTGTGTTTTGTGGCATATCTAAGAATCTTGAGCCAACCCCCAAATCATAAAAATGTACATCTATCTAAATAAAGAACTTACAGTTTTATCTCTTACATTTAGGCCTTTGATCCATTTTTGAATTTTATATATGGTGTGCAGCAGGTTTCCAACTTCATTCATTTTCATGTGACTATCCATTTGTCCAACCACCATTTGTTGAAAATATTTCCCCATTGGATAATCTTGGCACTCCTCAAAATTCAATAGACCACAGATGTATGAGATTTTTTTCTGAATTCTCATTCTAAACTATTTTATCTATACTATGTTAGTATCACATTTGGTAACTAGCATTGTAGTAAATTTTGACAACCAGAAGTATATTTCTTCCAATATTGTTCTAGTTGTTCAGAGTTCCTTACATTTCCACAAGTTTTAGGATTCGGCTGTACATTGTACCAAAAAAAAAAGGAGGGGCAGCTGGAGTTTTGGTAAAGATAACAATAGAAATGCAAATCAATTTAGGAATTATTTCTGTGTCAACAAATGATGCAAACACAAGAATTCTTTTCATATATTTAGGGTCTCTTATTTAAACTAATTTGTAGTTTGTAGTGTACAAGGCGTGCTTCCTTGATTAAATTTGTTCCTAAGTGTTTTATTCTTTTTGATACTATAAATGGAATTGTTCTCTTGATTTCTGTTTTAGATGGTTAATTCTAGTGTCTAGGAATAAAAGACAATATTTAACATTAATAATGGATTTTGCTATAAAGTTCCTTCTGTTGGTTTTATTGCTTAAGGAAACATATTCAGACATTCTTTATTTTATTTCTTATTACTCTTTAATTGAGGTAACATTGATTTACAGCACTATATGATTCAGAGATATAGGATCATACCCCTTCAGACAAATGTTATCATACCACACCAACTACCAAGGCACCCACAGCCCACCAAAGTGCTTTTGAACCTTTCACACTTTGCTCACCAAACTGAGTCCTTCTCTGGTGGTATATTTCTAAAGTTAAATGTCTAGGTTTTTTTTTTTTTAGATTTATTTATTTATACAAGTACCGGGGTACTGGCCAGATGCGCGGGAGGGTGAGAGGATTCACCAGAGACAGAGCAGGGAACAGAACAGGCTGACTGACGAAATACACTGCTAAGGGTAGCAGTGGGCAAGACAGGAGAGGTCTGCTTCACCATGTGGGATTCTCACCTGCCAGCTGGGATCGAACCTGTGCTGCAGAGGCTGTGGACAGCTTCACAGTGCAGCGCTCAACCGCCTGTACCACCAGGGAGGCCCCTAGATTTCTAGGGTTTGTTAATTGGTTTTGTTTTGCCTGACACTGTGTTTTTATCTCTATATTCCACATAAACTGAAACCATCCAGTATCTATTGCCTTCTAATTATTTGGCTTTGTATTATCCCCTCCGTTTGTACTGATGTTGCAAAGGGAAAGAGCCTATTATTCACAGATTAGTAGTATTCCATTGTGTATATATACCACATCTTCAACTACTCATCTGTTCTTGGGCGCTTATGTTTCTTCAATAAGGTGGCTTTTGTAAATTGTGCTTCAGTGGACATAAGCATGCATATATTCTTCGAATTAGTGTCTTTACATACTTAGAGTAGATACCTAGGAGTGAAATTGCTGGATCATATGGTAGATCTATTTTTAATATTTTGAGAAACCTCCATACTGTTTTTCATAGGAGTTGGGCCAGAGTAAATTCCCTTCCATAGGTTTTGCTAGAGATTTTTAAGGTCTCATTTGTTGAGTTATATACATCCTGAGCCTCTTATTTTATTACTTAATGCTATAATTTCTATTTTATGTTTATTTTATATCTGAGTTCATTTTTTCCTAAATTTTGTATTATCTCTGCTTAGCTCTGGGTTCTCTCATACTGCTTTGAGTAGTTTTTTAGAACTTCCTCTAGCTCTTTGGGTTTCTTTATAATAATATTTTGAATTACCTATCTTATAGGGAGAGAAATCTTTCATGTCTTTATGGTTGGATTTTAGATAGTAGTTTTCTCCTGATGATGTCTTTATCTCTCGAGGTCTTTAGTGGTTGGTTTGTGGATTGTTGTCCTCTCCATGTGATATTATACTCCCTTGATGTCTATAGTTACCATGTGTCACGTATTTTTTTGTCTGTCCATTTTGCTTCTTTAAATTTCCCTAGTTTTTAAAAAATAAAATAACTTTGAGTTATTTGAGTGTGATACTACTTTTACTTTTCCTGCAGGTGGTGCTGTATTTTTGTTTTGATTTGATTTTCTTGGCCTATGGTTACTTCTGTAGCTCCTGAGACTTATATTTGCATGTGCTGAGTCTTTAGTGTGGTGGAGGAAACTGACTGGGGGTGGGGTGGGGGAGATTTGTCTAGCTATTAAAGCAGATTTGCTGAGAGGTGAGGGGATAAGGGAACTGGCTTGTGTTTCTGGTACTACCAATATCCTCCTACACTGGGGTTTCAGATATAAGACAATTTATGTGCTGTTAAATTCAATTCATAAGGTCAGTAGTAGCCCCTAGCTGTGAGGTAGTGGGAATACACTCTAGATCAACTTCTCTGTTCTTTCTTTGCCAGGGACCCTGCTTTGTGAAACATCTCAACTCTTCCATATGAGTTTCCCTTCTTTCAAGGATTTGAGCCTCCACACACTACCCTCCCTTCCCCCAAGAGATCCTAGCTAGCAGGCAGCCCTGCTGTATGTACCCCAAACAGAAGCCTTCAGGCATCTCTCTCCACTCACCTGTCCATCGACCAGTGAATTTTCTCCATGTTCACTTTATGTAGTCTGCTGATATCTGATATATAAATGGTGTTTCAGTCTCAACCCATGGTGCGGGAGTCTCTGCATAGTGTCACTTTGATTAACTGTAAGATATTCCTCTTACTGCAGCCAGAAATCATGGGGATCATTTGGGAGGATTTCCTGTCTTTTGGAGCTGCTGGACTTGCCAGGCTCCACAACACTGGCCCCCTGTAACTAATTTGTTTAATTGTATCCTGCAACTTAACACAATGTGTTTATTATTTCTTAGTACTTTTTGTTTGAGTCTTTAGGATGTTCTATATATATAATATTATATAACCTGCAAACAGGCACATTTTACTTCTTACTTTCCAATTCAGATGTATTTTCTTTTCTTGTTTAATTGCTCTAGTCAGTACTTTCAGAACTTTATTGAATAGATATGGTTAGAGTAGGCACCTTCATCTTGTTCCTCATCTTTAGAGACAAAGCATTCAACTTTTCACCACTGAATCTGATGTTAGCTGGGGCTTGTCTTATATGGTCTCTGGCATGTTGAGCTATGTTCCTTTTACATGCAATTTCTTTATAAATTCTATCATGATTTGAAGTTGAGTTTTCTCAAGTTTCTTTGCATCTGATGAGATAATATAATTTTTATATCATTCTATTGTGATGTATTATGTTGATTGATGATATGTTGATTGATGATTATGCTGATTGAGTATATGTTGAACCATCCTTGTATCATAGATCTTAATTCATCCTGGCATATCATCCCTTTATATGTTGGACAATTCCACCAGTTTGTTTCTACAGAGGCACAGTTGATGACTGAACTCTGTTAAGTTGCTGCTGAGAGTGGAGCACCAGAATGCTCTATCCAGCTTCCTGTGTATTTTGGGTAAGTTTCCTGCTCAGATAGAACTAGGGCAGTGGGACTCCCTGGTGGCTCAAGGCGTTAAGTCTCAGTACAATGAAGCTATCCACAGCCACTGCAGCATGAATTCGATCCCCAGCCAGGGAGCTAAACCACATGGTGCAGCAGACCTCTCTTCTCTCACCTACTGCTCCCCTCAGCAGTATATTTCAGTAGATCTGCCTATTCTGCTCCCCACTCTATCTCTGGGGAATCTTCTCACCCACCACCCAACACCTCTGGTCTACATCCCAGCTCTTGTTTGCATAAATAAATAAAATAAGTCTTAAAAAAAGAACTGGGGTAATGGAAGTTTCTTATGAAATGAATTATATGTTTACTTTATTTTTTGAAATAGCTACTGACAGATGCAATAACATAGAAGAATCTCAAAAATACGCTGAGTGAAAGAGATTTACAGGAATAATTAAATAAATACTACATGATTCAATTTATGTGAAGTTATAGAACAAGATTAACAGAGTTGGGGACAATAAGTAAAGGAAAAAGTATGACTGCATGCCAATGAAACTTTATTTACACAGTAGGTAATGGATAAGGTTTGCCCCTTGGGCTGTAGTTTGCCAACTCCTATCCTAGAACAAATCCAATCTGATAGAATAAAATAAAAAAAAATGGTTTCTTCTGAGGGATACATAGGTAGGGATTTATTGAACAAAGACACAGGGAACTTCATGAAGTGAATATATTTACTATAATTCATGGAATGATACATTCAAAATTTGTCTTCCAAGTCACATAAGTTTTACTTCTGTGCTAGACAAAATTCTAAGATATTGTCCAAAATTCCTTGCTCCTTGTGTACATGCCCTATAGAATCTCTAGTAATATAAATATGATGGATTAAATTGTTGTGATTAGGCAATGTTACATGACATAGTTAATTTTAAGAAAGGGAGAGCATATAGATGGACATAATATAAAGGTGATCTCATTAATAATGGGTCTAAATGTCAGAAAAGGAGAAGTCAGACTCAAAGCATAAATGAGTTGATTCAAGGGAGATTCTCTATTGTTGAATAGAGAGTACAATGTTACAATTAATATGGTCATCTCTAGGACCTGAAAGATGTCCCTGACTGAAAACTAACAAAAAAAAAATGAAACTGAGAGTCACTTGAACCTGAATTTGGTTTACAATCAAAATGAGCTTGGAAGTGTACTGTTCCCCAGAACCTCTAGATGAGAATTTGTTCTGGTTTATCCCCTGATGTAAACCATTGGTACTTTAAGCAGATTACCCAGCAATATCAGCCACTGACTTACAGAATTGTGGTCTAATAAATGGATGGTCTTTGAAAACCCCAAATTTGAAGTAACTTGTTATACAATCATAGAAAGCTCAAAAAGAAAAAAATAAGGGCCTCCCTGGTGGCACAGCAGGTTGAGCGCAGTGCTATAAAGCTGTCTGGAGCCTCTGCAGTGTGGGTTCTATTTCCGGCCAGCCAGGGAGATACCCACATGGTGTGGCAGACCTCTCCTGTCTCACCTGCTGCTCCCCTCAGCAGTGTATTTTGGTCCATCTGCCTGTTCTGCTCCCCGCTCTATTTCTGGTGTATCTCTCACCCTCCCACGCCTCTGGCCTGTACCCCAGTTCTTGTATAAATAAATAAATCTTTAAAATAGGAAAGAAAAAATAAGTAAATGTTGAACTGTAATTAATGATACGTATGCTGGAGGGTTTTAAGGCAAAGAATACTGTCTGTGACTTACTTTGAAATTCATCAAAAATAACTGGAAGAATGGGTAAAAGAATTAGAAATGGATATGTAAAAAAGTAATATTAAAATATTAACTCTGAGGTTACATGGTTTTTCACCTTACTATTTTTTAGATTTGTCAATATATTTGAAAATTTTCAAAATCAAATGTCAAAATATGTGATGAAATGGTACCATGGTCTCAATGCTAAAATTCTACTC